CGCGATCTCTTTCATAGCGTGGCATGTTTCATTGTTCCTTGATCAGTCAGCCAATTAGTTAGTAATTGCCATCAATAGTAAGATGAATCAACTAGGAATGTGGAATACCAGGATTTGAGATTCTTTTATTGAGATGTTGGTTCCATCTAGTGGATCCTCCTCTCAGAGGTTGGGATTCACAGCCATATTTCGTAAATCATTATTTCGTAAATCATTAAAAAAAGGCTCTGACACAGCTACTTAAGGGCCTTTTCCTGGGAATTCTCTTAAGCTTAAAAGAAAAACGGTAGCGCCCGAAATGCTGTCGTTAACTGGCCGCCTGGAAATGGCAATAGGAGGAACACTTTTTTCAGTGGGGCTATAGGGTCTTGAGAAATGTTTTCTCTTCTTTCTTTTGCCTGCGTCGAGACTTAGTACGGAAAGGGCTTTTTCCAACCGCTTGGGTTGGAGCCTATTGGCTAGTCTCTGCTGGAAGAACTAAAGAATGAAACGAGGCAGACTCACTAACCGAGATTCCCAACTGCTAAAAGACGGGGTCCGCTTTTCATCTTAAGTACCAAGATTGTCTGTTCAGGTTGGTCTGTCTTTATTCGTGAGTTGATTCCTATTGACATTAACCTAAAAGTAGACTCTCCAGAGGTCTCAGGTTGAGTTTCTCTCTTTGTTCTGGTCCGGGCACAACAGCCCTAGAAAGTGCTTATTTCCTGTCGCTTTTGATTGACCAGCTTAGAGGCATCTTTTTTAGCGAAGACTGATTGATTGATCTCGTTATGGCTTCTGATATGGGTTTGGTTTGGATGCTCATGCTCCTTGAACCTTCGCGCTGACCGTTCGCTTTCTCAGTAGCGAAAGTACTTCTCTTTGCCCCTTAACTAGAAGGACAAGAAAGATTTTTTTGGTTTTATTGCTCCCGTTTCCTCACATCTGCGCTCGTCAAGCCAACTTTTCTTTTTGGGAGGTGAAACAGCGGTTGAAGCGGACATTTCGAAATGACGGCATCGAAGATATATTTATATATATATATACACGATCACCGTTATCCCAGACTGCGCTCCGAAAAAGGTGGCCCACTTGAAAGAAAGGGCGGGCACTCTCGTGTTTCAACCCCACTATACTATTGATAGTTGTGGGGCACTGTGTACTTACAGCCTCTACAATAAGCAAGTGAATGGGTTCGGTGCGTGGCGAACGGAACGGTTCATCAAGCCATTTCTCGCCTCAACCCCCTAAATAAAATAGAAAGAGGGGTACTTTACAAATAGGGGGTACCATCACGTTAGGTTTGGAGAGAGATGAGACCGGTTATATAATAGGGGGAGTAGATGTAAGCTTTTTTTCTTTCAATAGCCGGTCAAATGACTACAGGATCATCGGTCTACTCTACCTCAATTCACCATTTCGAACTTTATACAGAAGGTTTTTCCGTACCAGCTTCTTCTACCTATACCGCGGTTGAAGCACCTAAAGGAGAATTTGGTGTCTTTCTGGTCAGTAATGGAAGCAATCGTCCCTACCGTCGTAAAATAAGAGCACCCGGCTCTACCCATTTACAAGGACTCGATTCTATGTCCAAACATCACATGCCAGCAGATGTGGTCACCATCATAGGTACTCAAGATATTGTGTTTGGAGAGGTGGATAGATAGGACTACTAGTTGCTCGATCAGGACCTAGCTTTATTGCGAGCCCAAAAGTCCCCAATCTCATATTGATCAACTAATTTCTTGGTTTTTAAGACTGACTTCAGGGCCGATCAAGTCCATCCAATGCCCCCTTTGCTTACAAGCCCGCTAAAGTAAAGTAGGGTGAATAGGCCTTTTTTAGGCCTTTCTTCTTTTTATACATTTGCCATTTGAGCACCGAACGCTTTCAAACAACTTCCTTGCCCCTGCATCGAAACCAGGGGAATAGATTTTGCTTCGGATCCCGACAATTCATATCCTCTCGCTAAAGCAAGAGATCTTGATGATCCTCTTGCATTAGCTTTCTCCTCCCCCTCTCGCATTCGTGTGAGATATTGTCATACCCTCTTGCATTCGCTCGAGATCTATCAGAACCACTCGCATTCGACTTGACGACCTTTCTCCACATTTTCGGTTACTTGGGATGGGTAGGCCCACCACTTCACTTTCACTTAGGCCCGGGCCAAGTCAGTGGGGGGACCCTGTCGGGCTCCTTCCCCCCCCCCCAAAAAAACTGTACGTGAGAGTTTCCCTTCATACGGCTCGAATCATTCTCAGATGCCCGGAGAGGCAATCCTTTCCTTGTTTGTTGGGTTAGTTCACGCGCGCGCAAACGAGCACCAGCCGCAACAGCAGGGAACTATGACCAATAGAGTCAGACACTTAGCTACATTCGCACGTAAAACGAATGTGGTTCTGGTTGAGGCTTTCTTTCCCTTATTAGTAAAGGGGGCGCGGGACGTTCGCAGAGTTCGTGCCTTCCGTACCACCACAAGACTGGTCGTTCTTGGGCGGATCGGATCCTGCCCTTAATCATAAGAGATAGGGGAAGACGGCCGGGCCTATCATATCAAAAGGGTTATAGAAAGAGAACCCGGCCACCTATTTCATTCGACGTTCCGGGGCGCCCGATTCGACTGACTTTTGGATAAAAAGAAGGCGAGCTGATCTGCTTTGATCAAGGAAAAAGCCCAGTCAGCCACCAACTCGGTGCAGGTCACGTGACCTACAGCTCGGCCTTCGCTTTTTGAGGCTTCCTCTACCCACATCTCTATATGCCCGCAGCACTTCCATATGGAGAAAGATAGGCTTACCATGTTCCATCAATAGCACCTAACCTATGCCGATTTTGGCGGACCGTGCTCCACCCCGGTAAACTCATGCGGTTCCGACGTGCCCAGAGGCCAGAGGCTAAATCCGTTCACGGTCCGTGGGACCAACACCATTCGTTCTAAGCGTGGATCACTTTCAATTTGCTTAGTCATAAACCACTTTGCCTCGGTTGTATGTAAACCCCCCTTCACCCCCATCCCCTAAAGTGGTAAAGAAGGGCTGGGGTCTAATTATCTTTCTATCTGACAGGACAAACAAATAGGGAAGGGATGGTTCTTTCATTGCATTGATTCTAGCCTTTCCTTGCCCATGTGGAATCAGGCTATTGCCAAGTCGCTAAGGAAGAAGAAGTATCGATATGCCGAAAAGCGGATGCTCGTCCAATCAGTCCAAGCATAGACAGATCCTAGTGCTAGTGTGAGATCGCCCGATTTTTGGGCTGTTGTTGGATCGGGTAGGGAATAAGATGATTCGCTCGCTTAGTTGGGGCTAGAATCTTTAAGCTTTGATGACGACTGCCCTTTAAGGGTTGGTTCTTCCATATAAAGGGAAAAGCTGCGCTCAAGCATGCGAAGAAAGCTCTTCGAGCTTCCCTTATATTATGGAAAGGTTGGATCCAGGTCATTGCTCCGCTCGTTCGTACTCCTTGATGGATGGATGGGAAGGAGGCGTCAGAGGTTGTTGCCCCGGGGTCAACTCGAAGGGGCTGAAGTTTGACGCAGAGCTTTTTGGTTGTTAAGTTATAGCAGCACTGAGCAAGAAAGACGCTAACCGAATAGTTAGAGATGCCGCAAGCAAAGATCATATAGCCTAATTGACTGCAAGATGAATAAGCTATGACCCTCTTTAGATTGTTCTGTAATATTCCAGTGGTTGCTGAGCGATAGCTCTTCGATCACTATATTCTCGCGATGGCGAAGGATCGAAGATCTTCACGAGACGGCCCATGAATCAATCTCGAGAATCTCCCCTCATTCATGCCTTCCTTCAAGGCCTATTCTTTTTGATATCCTTGTTTTCTTCTTTCCTGGAACAACTACTCCTCGATTTTATTCAATTATAAAAAAAGAAGTAAGCACTTTGATGAAGATTTATAGCATCATTTAAGTAAATACAGATTAGCCTCTTGATCGATCGATTGATTGGATCGAAGTATGAAGGTGTTGATTGAAGTATGAGATCAGCCCAAGACTAAGGCCGAGCAACTAGCTGTTGCAAGATTGGACGTCCCCTTTTTGTTTTCTTTGATTCACAAGCTGGAATTGAACCAGCATCTCCGGTTGCTTTCCCGGCGCACTTCCCTTTATTTATTGTTATTGTGAAAGCCAGTTCCTCGTGATAGTACATGTGGGATTTCTCGGTTTTCTTCTGCCAAACCGAACGAAGACAGTTTCTCTCCCCTCTGTACCTATTGCACTTATATCTTCTCTTTCACTCTCTTTCTTCATTCAGGAAAGGTGAAGATTGAATCGGGAACAAAAAACGAAGAAGGAACAGACTTGTCCTTTGGTCGAGTTTGCTTCACTTCCTGCGACAGCTAAAAAGGGGCATTTGATGGGGTGCCTGGACGGGGGAAAGGAATCCAATGCTTGAGAAGGCAGCAAAAGTGCAAGCTAGAGGTCACCGATATTCTCCGTGGAGTTTTCATTGGAAGGAATAGTTCCACGCACCCAGCCCAGAGGTATAAGATAGGGGTCAATATGCTATCCAATCGAAACCTGCAAATGAACAACTACCTCCCGCCATAGAGAAGAGATCTAAAGTCTGGGTCCCCTCGATCACCCTTCCCTTGAACCTGAACTGGTCGAGAGAGATGAACCCACACCAGTGTATTTGGTGGTGACGAACTTATCATGCTTAGAAGGCGAACGTAATCTTATATAACGATAACGCTCGAGCTACCTTCGTTCATTTCCTCTACTCTAGCTTGCACTATTTCCTCAAACTATCGAACACGGAGTCAGAAGTGAATTACGAGTCGGACCAATTTGCGAATCGAGCGAGCTCGTTCATCCAAAGATCTCTCAAAGGATCTTCTTCTTTTTTAGACTTTATGTTAACCTCCTCCGAACCCTGGCTTTCGTTGGTCAACAACCAACAAAAGTAAACGTTTTTCACTACTCGTACAGTGAGAAGTCTCTCCTTTTTTGGGGGGGAGCGGATATGACCTCAAAATAACAGGGGTCGAGGTCGGCCAGTGAGACGATGGGGGATAAGCTTCATCGTCGAGAGGGAAACAACCCGGATCACCAGCTAAGGCCCCTAAATAACCGCTTAGTGATAAAGGAGGTAGGGGTGCAGAGACAGCCAGGAGGTTTGCCTAGAAGCAGCCACCCTTGAAAGAGTGCGTAATAGCTCACTGATCGAGCGCTCTTGCGCCGAAGATGAACGGGGCTAAGCGATCTGCCGAAGCTGTGGGATGTAAAAATGCATCGGTAGGGGAGCGTTCCGCCTTAGGGGGAAGCACCCGCGTGAGCGGGAGTAGACGAAGCGGAAGGGAGAATGTCGGCTTGAGTAACGCAAACATTGGTGAGAATCCAATGCCCCGAAAACCCAAGGGTTCCTTCGCAAGGTTCGTCCAAAGGGTTTGACTTGGGACTCCCAACAAAGAATCGAAACATTAAAAGGTGGGGCCTATTTTATTATCTCATTGGGAACTTTCTTCAAAGTGGGACCTAATTAATAACTATTGCCCACGTGACTGAGACACTTAGGATTTTCCACGTGTAATTACTAATTAATGAGATCTTAATGAGAGAAATTTATAAAGGGTATCTAATTATTATTTTAAGATTTTTTTTAGATTTTTAACTTTATATTTTCTATATTCTCATTATTGATAATATTTAAATATTTTTATGATTTAAAAAAATTTATAAAGTATTATAAATAGGCATTATTAAATAATTAATTTGATTATTTACTTTTTAAAAAACATAAAAATAATAATAAATTTATCAAATTATTATAAAAATGATAATTGTGACCAGTGACAGATATACAACAAGTTTAGAGTAGGCATTAAATTTTTTTCGATTAGTTTTTTTATAATTATGAGATTAATATTAGTATTTGTTTAAAGATTATCAATCATTTGACAATGAAAGCTCATACCCTCATATATGAGGTGCTTAAACCCAGAATTTCTAGGGATAACAACTCCCTTGACCACTGATATCACTTGGTTCGTGTTCAATTATTTATTTATTTTGTTGATTGTGTCTGTATGAAATTTTATTTGTGCCCCTTCCATATAAAAAATTAGTGTTATGAACATATTTGTGTTCCCACTCAAAAATATTTCTAGATCTATCATTCATTGTGAAGCTTTAACAAGTATAAAATTATGATAAATTTAATGGTGTTTTATAAATTTTGAAAGTGGTGACTAAAATAATAATTATTTAAATATAATTTAATGACTTTATGTGTATTTTCTCTAAATTTATATGGTATATAGATATTTGAGTATTTAATATTTAAATTATCAGTTTTGGTCTGTTTTAGTATTTAAACTTTTAGTTTTTCAAAATTATTTTCAAAGTTTAGTTTTTGTTTTATTTTAGTACTATGTCGCTAAAAACTTTAGTTTTTGTTTTATTTTAGTACTCATACAAAATTTAACGTTAATTTTTGAAAAGACTAAAAGTTTATGTACTAAAATAGACTAAAAATAATATTTTAGGTATTACACGCGTTAAGTTTTTAATAGTGGGATACTAAAATGACATAAAAACTAAACACTAGGTATGATTTTAAAAAAATTGAAAGTTTAGGTACTAAAATAGACTAAAACTGATAGTTTAAGTATTAAACGTATAGTTTAAGTAATTAACAAAAATTAAGTTATTATTTTGTTTCTCTATTTTTAAGGTTCGAGTATCCTTCGGTATGGGGACTCTCTGAACTCGAGATCCCAATGGCAGCAGCACCACCGTACACAAAACCACCAACAAATCCAACCCCACGCCACCGGAGGCGCGTGAACAGGATCACTTCATGCCGATCGCCAACGTCATCGGCATCATGCGCCGCGTGCTCCCTCCCCTCGCTAAGATATCCGACGGCGGCAATGAAACCGTCCAGGAATGCGTCTCGGAGTTAATCAGTTTCATCACCGGCGAAGCCAACGGGCGCTGCCAACGCGAGCAGCTGAAGACCGTCGCCGCCGAAGACGTCCTCTGGGCCATCGGAAAGTTGGGTTTCGACGACTACGTCGAGCAGCTCACCGTGTTCTTGAACCGCTACAGTGAGGCCGAGAACGACAAAACTTCACTGCGTAACGAACCCGTCTTGAAGCGCGGGATGATCGACGGCCATGCACCGCCACCACCCCTTAACGCACCGCCTTTCCCGGTGTTTTTGGATGCCAATTATGCCTTTGCAGGTAGATACAATCGAATTCGAGATGCTTCTGTTGCTGCCGCCGCCACCACCACTGTCGGATCATGTCCGCAGGCTCCGGAAAACAAGTTCGATCCGTTCGGTCAGTTCAAATGAACAAGATGACCTAAAAAAAGGCAAGCAAATCAAATCTGAATAAAACAGATAAACATGATATTAAGTACCCATATATAATAGTTTAGTTATATGTTCTTTTTCTTTTTCTTGTGCTTTGTTTAATTCAAACTACCCTTTTTCTACCTTCATTTCGTGTTTTAATGACATATTTTTACTCGAAATTTATTCCAAATCATTCGAAAAGCTTTGGTTTTAATTCAATTCTATTTTCATCATATAACTATTTAAATCAACGCTCATAACCCTTATCTCTCATTTGTTAAAGTTAGGGGTAGGCATGAGTCGGATTTAGGTCGAGTTCTAATTCACTCTACTTGACTCGAAAATTGCACCTGACCCTCCACTTACCCACATTTTTTTACTCGACCTGATATATATATATATATATAATATTATTATTTTCAATAAAAATAAGAATTTAATTGAAAAAAAAAGAATATATAGAGGGGTCTTATTCAAATTATCCCTAAATATGTAAGGTAAAACTATATTTTCTTTGTGTTGGGTCGGGTTAGATATTTTTCACCCTAAACCCGGTCTGGTTTGACCCGAACATAATTCCTAAAAAAATGGACTCGACCCATTCGAACCCAATTTTTTAAAAAAATTCAACTTGATAGGGTTGGATCGGATTGGAACTCATCTGGTTCAGGTCTCGTGCCCATCCCTAGTTAAAGGGAGGTTTTTTCTTCTTCTAGAAATATTGGATTCGAACAACTGTATTTACAGCTTATATCTTCAATGATTAATTTTTTTTTTTAAAAATAAACATTACCTTATAATCACTATGAGTGTAAATGAACATAATGTTAAGTGAATTGTTCATGAACCGTTATGTTGACGTTAATTTATGTCCGTTTATTAAGTTAAATAAACGAGTATGAACAAAATTTTTTATGTTCGTTTAATAAACAAACGAATACGAACAGAGGTGTGTTCGGTTTCGTTTATGTTCACGAACAAGTTCGCTTATTAACTTGTTCGTTTATGTTTATGAACAAACTCGTACATTTTAAATATTAATGAATGTACATACTAAATTGAATATATGATAACATTTAGTTTAAACTATGAACCCTAAAAAGTTTAAGCACCATTTTTATAGTTTAAACTATGATATCATTCCTAATTACAACACCAAAAATTCTTTTCTCCTCTCTTTTCTTTTCCCTCCCAGCCCGCCGTTCGTCTCTAACACTTTCTTTTCTCTATTTTTTATGAGATTTATCAAACCCTAGATCATCTTCTGTGAAGCCGCGTACGTATTACACTGTCAGTTTATTTGAGCTCCTCGCCTCATCCCAATCAGAATGGTAGTAAGAAAATACAGTTCATCGTCTGTTTAAGGAGAGTTCAAAATATATTTATAAAATAAGAACATGTTTATTTATTTACATGTTATTTTGTTAAATCTTTATTATTCATGGTACTAAGTACTAAAAGCTGTGGGTATATGTTTGTAAGAATATTTATCTTGATAGGTGAAGACACCAGATTTTGTCCTGCCAACAGAGGAGTCTTCATGTAACCAACAAAGAAGAGTTGGATTAGGACTCAAATACTAGCCTAAAATAGAGTTGGATTAGGACTCAAATACTAGTCTAAAATAGGGTTTTTTTAGTACTATAAATAAACCTTGTAATTACCACACCAGAACACACACGAGTTACACAAAAGGAATGCCAGAAAAATACGAGCAAAGAAAAAGTGATTTCGAGGCTATTGTAAACGATTCAAAGTAATAAAGGTGAAAGCTTTTTTTTACCTTTCGTTTGTTTCTCTTTACTCTTCACTTGCATACGTTGTTAATTACGTTTTCTTTGCTTAAGAACCCCAAAGATAAATGTTTTAACCGATGACCCGGACGGAGTTTTTCGAAACTTTGATTTCACATCTACGTTCCCTAGAGGCTATTTCGCAAAAAACAAATTACATTTTTGGAATGAGGGTGTGAAAATCTATTAAAAAAATAAAAACTTTTTTATTTTTGCCGGTTTTAATCTTCAATGTTCTTTGACATTTGCCCACTGATTAGCTTTTATTTCAATTAATCCCTACTAATATATATGTTTACTTATATTTCCATTATTATTATTTTTATTTCATTTATACTTTATTTTATATATAATATATATATATATATATATTTACTTTGATTTTCATATTCTTTATAAATTTTTTATTTATTTATTTTTTTATTTATTACTATTATTATTTTTTATTTTAATACTTATTATTACTATTATTTTTTTGATACCTTGTTTATAAGTTGTTATATATATATATATATTCATATAACTAGTATTATTACTATTTATTTTTGATATTAACGTATATATTTATATTTTTATAATTATCATTATAATGATATTATATTTTACTTTTAACTTACATTTTTTATTTATTTTATGTGATTGTTTTTTTCTTCATTTTCTATTTTCTTTGTATTTTTCCTCATTTTTATTGTTGTTTTTATTATTAAATTCATTACTTCATTCTTTTTCTTGTTATTTTACTTTTACTTCTTTATTTTCTTATTTTTTTTATCTCATTTTGTTTATTCGTGTTATTTATGTGTTTTCTTTGTTTTATTTATTTACTTTCATTGTCTTTTTCCTCTAACGTGTTTCTCGCCTTTTTTAAAAGGGATATTTTCAAATCGAATTAGGGTAAGTAATTTTGGATCGTAATTTTACCTTTTGAGTTAAACTTTCAATTTTCTTACTTAATGACAACTGGAAATTACGTAGTACCGAAAGGGCAGTTCAAGGGTGTTAACCCTTCCTTGACTGTAACTCCCGAATCTGACATATGGTAAGACAGATCAGATAAAATAAGGTATCCAATCAACCCGCTTTTCGTAAAGTAAATGATCGGTGGCGACTCCCAATTCATTTAATTCACGTCGAAGCCCAATTCCGGGGCCCAACCGAAAGACGGTTACGACAGCTTGGAGACTCTACTGGGGACAGGTAAGTGAGTCAGGCTAAGGTAATTTCCAGTTGTCTTTTTAACGAAAAGGGTAAGTTTAAATTTTAAGGTAACATTTCGATCCTTTTTTACTTACTTTTGATTATATTTTCGGGTAAATAGTTTTACTAATCGTTTTCTCGTGATTTCAGCCTTCAAATCTTTTTCATTTAAGGCTCTATACCCGAGCTCTAAACTCTATCTTAAGTGGGGGTGAAAGCGATGCCTTCGTGTGAATTTATTCACCGTGCGGGCATAAGGGAATGTGTCCTCTCGAGTTTAACTTAGTCCACACAAGCCTGTGATGGGTTTAGGACTAAGGGTCTGGCAAGCCGAAGGGGGCAATAGCAAGGAGAACTCGGGTACCATTTTTAGAACCTAAACCGGGAAACCATGGAGAATTAGAGCCTACCCCGAAACTACATTCCAAAACCTAGGATATTTTTACCCTAACCATTTTCTTTTTTTTGTGTTTTTTTTCCGTCATTTTTTTATTTTTATTTTACTAATCCTTTTGCCTTTGTGTTTGTTTTCTAGCATTTGCTTCATAAAAAGAGGCTATTGATCCTTAAAAAGAATTTGTTAAACACAAAATAAATCCGAATTAATGGACAAAGGTGTTGTAATACAAGAGATTAAAAACGCTGAGGCACGACTATGGTCCGAGAAGACTCAGAAAGATAAGGGAGACAGTCTTCAGGGAAATTATGTGTCAGAGCTTGTTAGTTACACATTTTTCAGCCTGAAACAAAACGATGTCCAAGAACTGCGAAATATTTGGGACAGTTGGGGGAATGACAGAAAGCAGAAGTTCAACCAACGATATGGTGATATTGCCCTCTTACTCCATGTCAAGACTGATGAACCCCTGCTCCGAGCATTAATTCAATTTTGGAACCCGGGATATAGTTGTTTCACCTTTAACCGAGAGGACATGGTGCCCACAATTGAAGAGTATATTACCCTACTGCACTGCGAAAACATCAGACTATAGAGGGCATATATCAAACACATCAAGAGTCATCCTTTCAAGAACGGACTAGCTAAGATTGTAGGGGTTGATGAAAAATAAGTTACTGATCGACTTCGACACAAAGGTAACGGGGAAGGAATCGAGTGGATTCACATAAGGCAACTAATGAAGAATCACCCTGATGAATGGAAGACTATAGACCTTTTTGCACTAGGTTTGTATGGTCTGGTTATATTTCCAAAGACTTTGGCTGCATCGACGCAGCCGTGGTAGAGCTATTCGAACAACTTCCAAGGCGAGTCAACCCAGCACCGGCCATCTTAGCCGAAACCTTTCGATCTCTCAACCATTGCAGAAGAACTGGCGGAGGAAGGTTCATTGGGTGTATTCAGCTCCTTCAAGTCTGGATTCACAACCACTTTTGGAAGACTAATGAGGTAGCCTATCGTCGATTCAACACTACTTATTCACCTTTGGGAGAATTCATCACTAGGAAATAGCATGAAGGTGCTTTAAAGGAAAAGTGGATGAAAGTCTTTACACATCTTCAGGATCGGGATATTACCTGGAGAGCCCCCTGGTTGTTCCTCGGTGACGTTCTTTTCCGGTGTGGGGATTATGATACTATGACCTTACTTGGACTTTGGGGTGCAGTTGGGTATGCTCCGTTGTTAGCACTTAGACAGTATGGGGCACGACAGTTTGTCCCGGTAACATGCGGGCTAGCTAGATCAGAGTTTGTGTATAATGGTGACAGTTATAAAAAGAGGATCAAAGAAGCAGCTGATTCATGGAAGAAAGTATTCCGGATGGATGTTGTAGCTGCCAGAGACATGCTTACTCTGGATTATGTAGAGTGACGAAGGCTGAGAAAGAATGATAACATCTCGGTGCCAGACTGTGAAGACACCCGGACCATGGAGGAACATCTCAGGCCTGTCCCTTCGGAACTTGAGATAGCTAAGGTAGAGTTTGAAGCTGTGAATAACGAGCTGAAGCAGAGGATTAAGGAACTTGAACCTGAACGTTATCAATG